CCCTTACTCTCTTAAAGGCACTAGATGGACACGGTCATAAGGCCTCCAGATCTAAAGTTTAATGGGTACAAACGACTGGTACTTAGGACATGAGATATCTCAGAGCATTCAAAAATTCCACCCTAAAATGCCTGGTGTCAATTTTGCCCACCCCTCTCCCCCATACGGACAAGAAAACAAAAGCCAGTTACATAAATTTTGAGGAGTAGTAGGTGGCTACTGCCATCAATGGATTCTGAATTTCTCAGCCCTGGCTCACTCTGTATGCCCTTCTCCCAGAGCCTATCTCCAGGCCTGCAGGGGCATTAACCTTCTTTGAAACCTTGAAATTATCTCTGTCCACACCACTAGCCCTTAGCTTGCTTATTTGTTTATTTATTTATTTATTTATGTTCTTATTAAACTTTTAATGGGACTCAAAATTCTGTGACAGATTTTTGGTCAAGTTGTTTCCATTAAAAAGTACTGATTTTAGAAACTAAAAACTGCCACACCCACAAAGAAACCAAATGGTCCACAAAACATTCTCCTTTTCTTTTGAAGTTTTTACAGTACATTGTAATCAATAACCAGTCTTTTACTATTAAACCTAAATGGCCAATTGAGATAAGAAGTACTGGGTCCACCAATGATTAAGACTGGGGTGGCAGGTATTGGGGGTAATATTCATTTAGCCTTATGAGTTTTCTGGGCAGATATGGTGACTGCCATCTCCAGCTGCCTTCTTGTCCACTGCTCTGATGACACCGACAGCAACTGTCTGTCTCATGTCATGAACAGCAAAGCGGCCCAGAGGGGGATAGTCAGAGACACTCTCAACACACGTGGGCTTGCCAGGAACCATATCGACAATGGCAGCATCACCAGATTTCAAAAATTTAGGGCCGTCTTCCAGCTTTATCCCCAAACGACGGTCAGTCTTCTCCTTCAACTCAGCAAATTTACAAGCAATAGGAGCCATGTGACAATCCAGCACAGGTGCATAGCCAGCACTGATTTGGCCTGGATGGTTCAGGATAATCTCCTGAGCTGTGAAGCCAGTTGCTTCCATTGTGGGTCATTTTTTTTTTTTTTTAATCCTCATCCGAGGACATTTTTCCATTTTTTTGTATAGATAGAGTAGGAGGGAGAGAGAGGAAGAGAGAGAGAGGGAAACATCGATGTGAAAGGGACACATCGAGTGGCTGCCACCCGCACGACCAACCAGGGCCAGGGACAAACTGCAACCGAAGTACGTGCCCTTAGCGGGAACCAAACCCGGGTCTCTCTGGACCGCAGGCCGACGCTCTAACCGCTGAGCCAAACTGGCCAGGGCCATTGTGGGTCATTTTTGCTGTCACCAGCCACACTGCCACGACTAACATCTTTGAAGACACGTTCTTGACATTGAAGCCCACATTGTCCCCAGGAAGAGCTTCACTCAAAGCTTCACGGTGTATTTCAACAGACTTTACTTCAGTTGTAACATTGGCCGGAGCAAAGGTGACCACCATGCCAGGTTTGAGAACACCAGTCTCCACTCCACCCACAGGGACAGTACCAATGCCACCAATTTTGTAGACATCCTGGAGGGGCAGACACAGGGGCTTGTCAGTTGAACGAGCTGGTGGTAGGATGCAATCCAGAGCTTCAAGCAGTGTGCTTCCACTGGCATTGGCATCTTTACAGGTGACTTTCCATCCCTTGAACCAAGGCATGTTAGCACTTGGCTCCAGCATATTGTCACCATTCCAACCAGAAATTGGCACACATGCTTCTGTGTCAGGATTGTAGCCAGTTTTCTTAATATAGGTGCTGAATTCTTTAACGATTTCCTTGTATCTCTTCTGGCTGTAGGGAAGCACAGTGGAATCCATTTTGTTAACACCAGCAATCAATTGTTTAACACCCAGTGTGTAAGCCAGAAGGGCATGCTCACGGGCCTGCCCGTTCTTGGAGATGCCTGCTTCAAATTCACCAACACCAGCAGCAACTATCAGGACAGCACAGTCAGCCTGAGATGTGCCTGTGATAATGTTTTTGATGAAGTCTCTGTTCCTGGGGCATCAATGATGGTCACATAATACTTCTGGTCTCGAATTTCCACAGGGAGATATCAGTGGTGATACCACACTCACGTTCAGCTTTCAGTTTATCCAAGACCCAGGCATACTTGAAGGAGCCCTTCCCCATCTCAGCAGCCTCCTTCTCAATTTTTTTGATGGTTCTTTTGTCAATCCCGCCACATTTGTATATCAGATGGCTAGTAGTTGTAGTGGAATCTACGTGTCCGATGACGATGATGTTGATATGAGTCTTTTCCCATTTTGGGTTTAATTTAGTGGTGGTTTTCACAACACCTGTGTTCTGGTGGCAAACCTGTTGTGAAAAAGTGGCTCTTAGCTTATTTCATTTTAACAAACCATTTATACTGCAATGAAAATAATGGGATTGCTGCAGGCATTCTAGTGCAATCTTTTTTTGCCTCTCAGATATGTCCTATAGCAAATTTCTTATGCTAACTCCATCCTATAGTATTGGATATACACTTATATTTACCTGAGTAACCATAGTTGCCACCCTGATTGACAGAACCAGTACTCTAACATCAGCCCCCCCCCCATTTATCTCTATGTTCCCCCATGCTATGTCTACTACTCTGCAAGCTCATAGGAGGCAACCCCTCTCCACAACATATGAATAGGCACTTTTAATTAACCCTTCCATCATGCATCGTTGTAATACTTTAAAGCCAGATACTTTATTCCCCTTCCTGATGAGGGAGCACCCAACTCAATTCCACATGATTGCCTCTGTAGGGAAGAACAATAATTTGTCTTTTACTCTTCTAAGTTCTCCTGCCTGGCCTAATAATAAAATCGACATGCAACAGAATAATAGGAGAAAATAACCAGATTTATTACATATGTACATACTGGGGTTCCCTAAGAATATGGGACCTGAGGACAAATAGGGCATTTGAGGCTTATGTGCCATTCCGGACTAAGAAGAGGGGGAGCAGGGAGTTGGGACTTTAAAGGGAAAATAGGCTATTCACGGGTAGATGAGAAAGAGCAAATATTTGGTGAACAGTCTTGCCAGGCCACCCAGAAGCAATGGGACCTAGAAAACAGTCTTAGCAAACAGATGCTTCTAGGTCAGCGGCAATCAACCTGGGGGTCATGGCCCATTTGGGGTTGAACGACCCTTTCACAGGGGTCACCTAAGACATAACAGTAGCAAAATTACAGTTATGAAGTAGCAACGAGAATAATTTTGTAGTTGGGGGTCACCACAACATGAACTGCATTAAAGGGTCGCGGTGCTAGGTAGGTTGAGAACCGCCCTGGCCAGTTTGGCTCAGCGGTTAGAGCGTCGGCCTGTGGTTCAGAGGAAGGCTGAGAACCACTGTAATCTAGGTCATTATGCTAAGGTGGTCTTCCTGCCTTTAAGCAGGTTTTTCTATCTGAATTCCTTTAGGCAGGTAAGGGGGGAGGACAAAAGTTTCCTTCTGAGTCTTTTGTTTCTTAAAAATAACCAGCTTAACATAATCAATATCTCAAGAAAACTTATCTTAGGGTGGCAAAACTCTGCTTCCCCTCATGTTACAACTGTAGAAATGGCCTCAAAGCTATGAGAGGACTTCTACGTGTGATGCTCCTATCAGTGGAGTTTCCAGAGAAACATGACTGGCTATGCTATAAGGTCGCCACATGTCATGCTGGAAGCATCCTCTCTGCCTATTATGAAATCAGCCCAACGGGCGAAACTCAGCTCTTACTAGAGCTTGCACATTAGCAAAAGGACAAACTGCCACTATCTACAGACTCTAAATATGCATGGATCTGTCATGCTCGGGGCACAATTTGGAAAGCCCGCGGATCCTTAACTTCGCTGGCACTCCCTCCGCTCATGGGTATATAACTGCAGTGCTGCTACAAGCTACTCACCTCCCTTCTAAAACTGCTACTGTTCACCCTTCAGCCCATGGGAAGGAAATTGATGTTATATCTAGGAGAAGACAGGGCTGATACAACTGCTAAATACACGGCTTAAAATGGACCCCTTTATCCTTTCTCTACCCATTTTTACAACTGCCTTTATCTCTCACTGATACTATTAACTACCAGGCAAATACCCCACGATCTGAAAAAGACAAATGGATACAAACGGATGCCAGACAATGATTAGAGAGATGATATATTGGGCCTAATAGACTTGCTACAGCTCCTTTTTTTTTGGACTTTATGGCTTGTACTTACATCCCAGTGAGCAGGACACAAGCAGACATGGGATAATTAAGGAACTAAAAGACCATTGGTTTTACCCTGGCATCCATAAAGTTTCTGATTAAAGTATCTCCCAGCACATCAGTAAATCTCACCAAACTTCTGGAAGAAATCATGTATTTCAGGAAGTCCTCCTAAGCCCACGATGTGCTTTGCAGTACCCTGGATGGGTTTTAGAGACTTGCCCCCAGCTTTAGGCTGTTCTCGCAGTTTGGTTACTGTCTCTGTGTAGTGGGTGAACTGAATGCTATCCAGCTAGATGTGCTGGTGCAATAATAGTTGTAAAAAAATTAATTACTGAGATTATTCCACATTTTGGCACTCTTCTATGGTTTGAATCGGACCAAGAAACTCATTTTACAGCAGAGATAAACCATCTGCTTTCAGAAATTCTGGGGTACACATTAAAATTTCATACTCCACACCATTCTCCATCATTAGTGCAAATGGAACATAAAAATGTAGGCATAAAAATAAATTTAGGAAAGATCTTTCAAGAAGCCAGACTTCTATGGCCAGAAGCTTTGCCCTTGCCCTTATAAAGATCTGAAATATTCCAAATAGGAGACATAGATTGACCCTTTTTGAAATAGTATTGGGACACCCAATATCTTCTGGCATCTCTAAACCTTCCATTCCTGATTAAATGAACATTATGGAAACTTAAGGGAACAATTTGATGCTACAACTAGCTAAATACAGGAACTAACTAGTAGGCATATCACCAACAGGTAAAAGAGGCATGACCTCCATCAACTGACAAGCCTGGCCATCCCTTTTGACCAGGAGATCAGATGTACATCAAGATCTTTAGAAGAAAGGTCACATTATTACCTCACTGGGAAGAACCAAAACACCTACACTGCCATCAGAAGAAATATCCTCCTTGCCCTGGCTGGTTTGGCTCTGCAGTTAGAGCATCAGCCTCTGGACTGAAGGTTCACAGGTTTGAATCCCAGCCCCAGTTGGGGTCATCAGGGTGCAGCTGATCCATGTGTCTCTCTCTCATCGATGATTCTCTCTTTCTCTCTCTCTCTCCCTCCCTTCCACTCACTCTAACTGTCAATGGAAAAATATACTCAGGTGAGGATTAACAATAACAACAAAAAAAGAAAACTCCTCCTGGATCCATGTGAACCATGCCAAAATAGACACAGACCATTGCTCAAGACAACTGGGAGGTATCCCTACAGGGGACTTGAAGGACTTCCAGTGTCGGTTCCCAGGCCGCAGAAGCATACGGCACTATGACAACTTTTCCCAAGGTCACAGATCAAGAAACTTTTCTTTTACCTCTTCCCCCTCTTCAATATCCCCAAACAAACAAACACACAAACAAAAAATACCTTCTCTTAAAAAAATCCTCCTTTCCCTACACTTATCATTGTTAAGCAGCTACCTGGAGAGTGCTTATCTCTATCTTACTTCCTCTGCGTTTCCAGTGAGGGCTCTTCTCCAACTTGTTCTTGCTCTTTTTTTCAACAGGTTGGACAAAGATCAAACACCCTCTTTTGCCATTTTACCAACCCTGGCCATCTTAACTAATCAATCTGCTTGTTGGTTGTGTCAACATCTCAATAGTGCCAAAGAACCTGAACAAGTTAGTGTTTGTTCTGCTGCTGTGAACACCTGAACTAAGGAGATGAACAACAAGGTGTGGTATCTACAACAAGACGAATGTCATTCTGTCTCCTCTTCTGGTGAGTCATTTGGGCCTATGGAAAACCATAGAAGCTCAAGAAATGTCTCTTACCCAGATAAAATCTATAGGTGAATAAATGTCTCTTTGTCATTCTGTCTCCTCTTCTGGTGAGTCATTTGGGCCTATGGAAAACCATAGAAGCTCAAGAAATGTCTCTTACCCAGATAAAATCTATAGGTGAATAAATGTCTCTTTGCATTGAAAGCAGACGTGACACTGGACTTTTCCTAGGTGACATATCAGGACAATATTTGCAAACTCTGTGGTTTGATTATGCAGGTGGCACCTCCAAACCTGCCAAGGAGATTGTGAGTGACTCTAACACTACCTTTTTTAGCACAAGTCACCAAATGTTTTGGATGGCTTACGAGCTACCTTTGTGTAACTTTGGGAGTATTGCAGCTGCTCCCCTGATTAAACTGCCCAATACTGCAGACTATATATGGAGGGAAAATCTGGACTTACTTGGCCAGATGACAGAACCCAGCTTTAGGGCTGCTAAAACCAGGGCACAGACCTCCTATACCAGCTATTTCACAGTCTGTTCTGCTCTCACAGATCGACAGGAGCACATGGAGATTGGAGATGTATGGATAGTGACACGCACCATGAAATAATTGTGGATATTACAGACTGCCACTGTAACCTTGTCTGTAAACCACACCAGTCTTTCTATTCTATGTGGCAATAAAGTATATAAAGGGTTCTGCCCTGAATGGTCAGGAAGATATAGATTCAAATACCTGGTTCCCTCTGTCACTAAATATGCTACCCTAAATACCAGCCAAATTACAAATTCAGGCTCCTTTGTTCTTAAACTTGTGCCACATAAATGTGTCAATCGAGAAATCATAGAAAATCTGCTGGTATATAACAACTCCAAGTTCTTTTCAGCTGGACGTTCTTACGTTCTTTCCTCTTTCTGCAGATCCCTTACCACTCTGCTTTGTACTATTTTTCTCTTTCTGCAGCCTCAAGCCCAGTGTTCCAGGGAAGTTTCAAAAGAGGGAACTGTCGGGGCCCAAAACAGGCTGTCCTGATATATTCCACAATGACAGATCGATTACTTCAAATTAAAGTTACTTGGTGTTCAAAGGGCACCTAGAGCCGCCCTTGTCCCCTTGAATGCAGGAAGTAATTCTCCCATGTAACAGGTGTCCTCCTGCACTTAGAAGTTACACCTTTTACTAGAGTTAAACAACTCAGAGTTGATAAGTCTATATAATCGACTCTTATTTTTTCTACTTGACTACTTTGTTTAAATTCCTCATTAATAAAAAAAAAAAAAACCTTGCTTAGAGTCCTTTCTAATGAGCACTAACGTTTTTTGTTCTGTCAATTGTTCAAAAATTTATTGCTTCTTTCTTTAAACAATATAAACGGTGCCTCACTCAATCATTTTATTTTATGATCTGAGCATCATATTGTGATTCTTCTGTGCACGTGCATTCAGTTGGATTTTCTCTGTTATTCTAGTCTTGTGTTAATTCTGTTATTTCATTACTAATCCAGTCCTAAGAACTGAAGAAGGGTAGAGGGAGAGGAAAACTCTCCCCTCCTCCCCAACAAATGTATAGATAAAAGTAAGATGTGTGTGGGACCTCTATGAAGACAATGTAGATGGAAAACTACATTGTACTCCAAGCTGATAAAAATTTTAAACGTCTTTTCTTCCGAAATCAGTCTATCAATTAAATGTTAGCTCAATTATATTCTCAAAGTGTTGATAAAATTGTTCTAAATTTCATCTGAAGGAAATAATGTGCAAGAATAGCTAATAATACTTTGAAAGAGGAAATTAATGAAGTTGTGCAATACTAGATTTGAAGCCATATTTCAAAAAATATTAAAAGTGTACTATTAGTTCACATCTGAACTCTTAGACCAATAATAATGCAGAAATAGATGTTAGTATATGTAAAATATTGTAAAGGAACCGCCAGAACATAGTGAGGAAGGAAAAGGTAAACTTAATCATCAGTACCTATTTGGAGAATATTTAAAAAAGATTATAGCCTCGTCCAGCCAGTGTGGCTCAGTGGTTGAGCACTGACCCATGCACCAAGAGGTTGCCAGTTCAATTCCCAGCCAGGGCACATGCCCAGTTTGTGGGCCCAATCCCCAGTGTGTGGGGGGGGGGGCGTGCAGGAGGAAGCCAATCGATGTTCTTCCTCATTGATGTTTCTATCTCTCTCTCTCTCTCCCTGTAAAATCAATAAAGAAAAAATATATATTAAAAAAAAAAAAAGATTATAGCCTCATACTTTACATCAAAATCCAAATGGATTAGGAAAGAAAATAAACTAGAACATATCAGTGACTATCTCTGTATGTGATGGGATCTTCCAAATAAAAGCAATAGGAGTATTCACTAAGGGACAGATTATATATTAAACTAAAAGTATCTATCTTCTGAATATGAGAAAACAAAAGGCAATCAGAATTGAAATACTTATCAACAGATTTTGAAAAAGGGAGGCTAAGTATTTTAATGTGGAAATTATTTATGCTAATATTTTAAAAATAGCTTTCTTGAGATACAATGTGTATACCGTAACATTCACCCACTTAAAGTTTACAACTCAAAGATTTTTTGTATAATCATCACAATCAGTTTTAGAACATTTTCATCACCCCTAAAATAAACCCTGTACCCTTCGGTGATCACTCCCCACTGCCCTTCATGCCCTTATACTACTAATACATTTGTTAAAAGCATGAAGATGCCAAGAGTAAAATGAGCAAAGCCTGCAGTACTTCATAGAAGGTGAAATAGGGGAAGTACACGTGGCTAATATGAAAAATTGTAGTTCAATGAAAATAATCCAAATTAAAACAATTTAATTTTTATATACCAAATTAGCAGTTTTTCTTTAAAAAAAAAAATTTTTTTTTCTTTATTGATTTTAGAAAAAGAGGAAGGGAGACGGCGAGAGAGATAAAAACATCAATGAGAAAGAACATTGATTGGCCGCCTCCTGCATGCCCCCCACTGGGGATTGGGCCCACAACCTTGGCATGCATCCTGACTGGGAATTGAACCGGCGACCTCTTGGTACATGGGTCGATGCTCAGCCACTGAGCCACACCAGCCAGACCAGTTTGTTTTCTTTTTAATTCTCACCTGAGGATATGTTTTTATTGTTTTTAGAGAGAGAGGATGGGAGAGGGGCTAAGAGAGAGAGACACATCAATGTGAGAGAGAAACATTAATTGGTTGCCTCCTGTACATGTCCCAACTGGGGATCAAACACAATGAAAATCAAACCTGGAAACTTTCGGTGTATGGGACGATGCTCCAACCAACCGAGCCACCTGGCCAGGGAAGCAGGGTTTTGTTTGTTTGTTTGTTTGTTTGTTTGTTTGTTTCAGTATTCAGCCTCAATATTTGTGAGACCATATCGAAAAACACATGCTTATACTGCAAAGAGGAGTGTTAAAGCCCCCCGCAAAAGCAGTTTGATCTCACCAAGAGCCTTTAAAGCATTCAAATTCTTAGATCAATAATTCACTTCTTGGAAACTATCCTAAGGGATAATCAGAGATCTGAATTTACACTTAAGCCCACTGTTTGTCGTATCCTTATTTATGTATGATGAAATATAAAAATACATAAATCTTCAGTGTACTTTTCTTTGGTTTTTTTTTTTTGCATTTGTGATGTGGTATTCTGAAACATTCTTATAGTATGCCTCATGCCATGAAAAATATTATACATTAAGTGAAGCAAGCAAAATGGAAGACTACATGTAATGTGATTTCAATTATGTTAAAAAAAATGATATCGAACACAAAGGAGCATTCAGAATTTCCCTGACATATTACATCTTGATATTTGTAGAGCGGTCTCTTCTCGCTCCATAACATTGTTGCTTGCCAAAATTTATTTGGAGCATTTTCCACATATGGTTTGCCTTTGGGAGTCTTACTCAGACTCCTCACCATCAGCTTTTACTTGGGGGAGGAAGGAGGACTGCTTTCTCTTCATCCTTCTTTCACCCACAGCAACATTTCCAGATTTCAGCTTTAGTGCTTAGCAATGCATCTTTATAATCTGGGTAACTCTGTAAGGTGCTCCCACTGTATATCCTAGGTAGAGGGAATTCCTTGCAGCTGTAACAAGAAGAATACTTGAACCAATTCTATAAGAATTGTCAACGGGGCTTCAAGATCCCAGGATGCTTACATTGGCAGCAGATTTGCCTCCAGCTCCTTAGAATCTACATATGGAATTTCACTTTCTGATACGAGATAAATGTTAATTTAATTGCTTGTTAGGTGAGAATGGTCTGGCTCTTTCAGCTGCTTGCCAATGCAAAACAGATGTTCCCTTTAGCAGGAGGACTTGAAAATATTCATAGTCTCCGGGTAGCATCCATCTGAACATCTGATCGTGGGAGTAACTTTGATGAGCAATATTGGTGCAAGAGGGGCATCTTGTTTAACTCAAGAATTTTGTACATTTCATGGGAAGGCTATTTAAGATTAGCTTTTAAGAAGGCCTTGTTAAGAAAGCCTTTAAGATTAGTTAAGAAACAGAAACCGATCCTTTCTTTAAAAAATATATATTTTTTGACTTGGCTGGATAGCTCAGTTGGTTAGAACGTCATCCCAATATGCCAAGGTTATGAGTTCGATCCCTGGTCAGGGCATATACAAGAATCAACCAAGGAGTGAATAAATAAGTGGAACAACAAAATGATGTTTCTGTTTCTCCCTCTCCCTTCCTTTAAATTCAATAAATAAAAATTGAAAAACAAAATAATGAAATAAAGGATTTATTTCTGCAGAACCAACCACTATCTTAAATGTTACTATTTTAATTTATTTTCTTTATCATTAGACTTATTAGTAAATTCTTTCTGACCCAGTCAGAATTCCTTTATTTAACTTGATTCAAAGGAGAAATGTCCCCCCACCCCAGAAGTCTTCCCTACCTCTCCACCCAAAGAAAAATGCCCCTTGAAATATGTTCCTCAAAGTCCACTGAGGTAATAA